ATGCATCAGATGAAAGGGTATTGCTGCAGTGCTGGGCCAGTCATCAGCCAATATAGTGGCATCGCTGCCCAAACTCTGTGAGCAATGAGAGTCCCCTGGGCAAGATGAGGGCTGTGCAAGGCTAGCCCCCAGAGACCGGCCCAGAGCTCCTGGAGCAGGAAGGCGGGACCTCCAAGTGTGACCGAGAAACAAGCATGCCTCTTTCCTATCCGTGACACCTGGGAGCTTGTTCAGACACCAGACGGAAGTCAAAATCAAAAAGAATCTCTTCCTCTAAGCAGGATTTTATGAAAGTGCAGCTGAGAAGGAAGTAACCTAACCCTGCGGCACCTGCAGGTTCCTGTGCAGGAGACAAGTTGTGGCGTCTCAGAGGGAAGGTGCCGGGGGCAGTTTGAGCCTAGGTGAGGATGGTAGTCTGATGTTTGTGAGCTAATTATTTGGAATTTTTCACTTTTATGTGGAAATGCAGTTATAAATGGTGGCTCAGCTCATGTCTTCCTCGGTGTTTCTAGCGTGCAGTAGTAGGCTGTGACACTCTGGGATGTAACCAGTGTTTCATGGGGAAGTGCAGCAGTCCAGGCTGGGACTTCTGGAATCGAGTCGTCTTCCTAGCAGGCCCCTCTTCATGGTCTGCTGGGCACTGGCTGTAGTGACCTTCCAGCTCTAAGCCTGTGGTGAAGGTCCCTTTGTCCAGCAAGGGCCCTGGGAGCCTGTATGGTGGGAATACAGATACCTGGGATAAGGCAGACCCCATGGCTACCTCTCGGCCCCACCAGCTCCCTGGTTGTCCGCTTTCTGTCTGTTCAGGAGTCCTTGCAACTGGCCTACCAACTGACTTTCCTGCTGTGGCTGCCCTCATCCTTGCTTCCAATCAGAAAATTGTTCCTTCTTTGGCTCCTAGAGAAAACGGACTAATGTATAGCTAGTACAGCCCTTGGTATGCCGCAAGTGCTCAGTCCACACTCCCTGTATAATTTATTAGTCTCTTATATGGTCCTTCACACCAGCCCATGAACCTCATCAGCCAAGTCTCATTGTTTTGATTTAGCACGAGTGTGGAGCCAGTGAGTTAATGTAACCAGGCAGGAAGGAAGGAGTGAACGGAGATGCAGAGCCTCAGGCTGAGGCAGGTACAGCCGCGTTGTCCCTGGTGGACGTTGGCCTGTACATGGAGCTAGGCTTGGTCTTGGCCCCTGCGGGCTTTATAATCACACTCTCCCCTCTCCTTGTGAGAAAGGTGCCCGACCCTTCCCTACATCTCAGTCTCAGTCTCAGGGCTGGAGGGCTGGGGGATCCTGGGATTTTGACAACCAGAAGGACTGAAGTAGGGTTTGTCCATATTTCAGATGAACGTCCAGGCTCGTTGTCTGCAGGGTTGGTTGGTTTTTTCCAGCTATCCTAACATTTCATTCAGTTGGCTGATAGGGTGGGAGGGGAGGATGCAGTGCTCTGGGGCCGAAGTGTCTTGGACAAAGCCTTTATGAGGAAGTAGGAAGAAGATGGAAATTAAAAAGAACAAGTGTAGAGAAGGGGGAATTGCCACAGGACTATTCAGTTTTCTTATCCTGCCACCTTTTCCACAACCTGCTAGGTCCTGGACCAGCCCTGGGCCACATGAGAGGCAGGGCCTAGAGAGAGGTGCACATGGGTCAGGCAAAGTGGTAGTGTGGAGAGCACCCCCAACTTAGGAAGGCGAGACCTGAATTCAGGCCCTGACTTCACTTTGTCCCCAGCCAAGTCTTCTCCTCTCTAGGTCTCTCCAGAAGACTGGGAGGAAGGGATGACCTTGCTGCCCTGCCAGGTCTGGCATGCTGAGTAGGGTCTGTGTGACTCCTCTTCTTTGAGCTGCTTCCCATAGCTATCGTTTGTTAGATTTGCCTAGAGCCTTTGTTGGCTTTTAAAGAGGGCAAACTCTTAGTTCAGAATGGGAAAGGAAGATCTGGGTTTGAGTCAGGCTGTGCCACATTTACCCTCTTTGAGCCTCAGATCCCATATTTGAGAATAGAGATGCTGATAGCTACCCTGGGCCAGTGTAAGGATCCAGTGAAATCAAAGGTGTGAGGATGTTTTGAAACTATAAAGCTCTGCCCATGCTTATTTCATGCATCACCCCGAACATAAAGACACCTGCCTTACTACATGATGATATTCTGCTGCTTTTCAAAACTCAGTGACACATATCACCTGCCCCCAGATGTCCGGGTGAATGTGTGCTCAAGAACTGCTGATGGTGGTCACGTTGCAAAAGGAAGTGCTGATTCAGGGGAAACAGCGTTGGCTGCAGTGGAGCAGGTGGGCTTGCAGAGTGCTGAAGGCAGGCGGAGTGGTCCCAGATGAGAGTGCAGGCCTGCCGGTAAAGAGCCTCCAACCAGCACCACATCCTGGCATCGCTCAGAAGCGACGGCTGGACCGCTGAGGACACAAAAACAGTTACATGGGATAAATATGGCTCCCATTACAAAGAGAAAGAACTCTCTCACTGGCACGAAAAAAATAAAATGGGGGCCATCCCTGTGGCGTCGTGGTTAAGTTTGGTGCACTCTGCATCAGTGCCCCGGGTTCGTGGGTTCAGATCCCAGGCACAGACCTACACCACTCATCAGCCATGCTGTGGTGGCATCCCACGTGCAAAATAGAGGAAGACTGGCACAGATGTTAGCTTGGGGACCATCTTCCTCAGCAAAAACAATAAATACGATAAATTTTAAAGCTTCTGCCATAAGCTTGACAACGTCTTTGCCCTTAGAACTAGTGAACCAAGTCATGTATTTCTCACATCTCCAAAAAAGGCAAAGAAATTGCACTGAAAATCAGTCTCTGTGCTTCCCTTGCTTGCTTGATTCAGATTCAAGTCTCGTAGAACTCCTCTTGTTTGACTGGTTTTTCCCCTCACTTTCTTCTTTTTAAAACAGTATTCATTGGTGTTTTTTCTGATTATAAAAGTAATGTACATTATGGGAATTTTGGAGCGTGCAGACGTGTCTAAAGAAGACAGTGTCAACTTGCCCAGCTGCTTTCAGAGGCACCTGCTGGCCGTGCCACACACTCCTTCTGCCTGTTGTGAGGAGGCCTTTTCCTTTTTAACACTTGCTTTACCTGATGCCCCTTTTCTGATTTCATTTCCTAATTTCTGTTCTGCTGTCGGTTATCCTGTCTTTTGTATTGGAAACAGAGTGTGAGGATGTGGGCTACATACAGGGAGCTAAAAGCTATTCTGTGACACCCAGAAATCAGAAACACGTTTTTAAATATACATGCAGGTACATCCTGACTTATTTTGGGTGTGTATTTGTTGTGTATCGTGTCACTGTCCCTTGCTAATGAATATGGACACTGTTCCACTCTGCACCATGGCCTGTTTGCGTGTGACGTCAGTCCAGGAAGTGGCAGAGACTGTTCACTGACACTGTATTTCGTGGGATTTATTCTGGTATTCTGAGCACAACATGGACTCTATACTTTGAAAGAAAGAGGGTTGACTGTAGGTCAGCTATAATGCGCAGCGTGTTTTTTAAGACGGGGACCCTTCTCCCCTGCCCCTGCACGTCAGCTGGTCACACTCACGTCTGTTTGGAACACTGGGTGTGATCAGCATTTCACACACACGCACACACGTTCTCAGGCTTTAGTTGTGCAGTTTTGCCCAATGTCAGACTCACTGTGCACAGGCCACGATGGAGAACGTCACGAAGCCCGAAAAGAAAGAGAAAGCGTGGAGGCTGCGTGTGCTCAGCAGCAGAGCCGAAGGGCCTCTACCAGCAGCTTGTCTACTCAGCCCTTCTGGTCACTAAAACAAGGCTGTTTCTTACACTCGGTTCTAATGTGCGAAAGCCCCGCTCACCCACCCTGCAGTCCCCGAGGCGGTTTCTCCCCAGGCCCCATGTCTCCTGTGTGTGCCTGTGGTTCTGTGATGGTCCCTTGTTGGGCTCCTCTCCCTCTTCCTCGAGTCACCGTCAGGTCTGCCGAGTCTTAGGGATGTCTCTCTCATGCTGTCTTCTCTCAGTTGCCCGCGCACAACTCTTACAGCATTGCTGCTGTGAGTTTTTGCTCGTCCTGTCAGCTCACTCCTTTTGGTCTTACAGTCCAGAGTGTGACAGCCTTGCCCCAGCTGTGGCATTGGGTCCCTCCACTGAGATGGAAGGGGCAGAAGAAAAGGAGGTGGTTGGCTCTCCCTGGTAGATGCGGGCAGTGGTACAGACTGGGGGAGTCACCTCTGTTTGGATACATTTCCCCCAACACATCCTGCCTCAGAATTCAAAGCATTGCAGATGTCAGAGCCCTGGAGCCCATCCCAAGATTGGGTGCTGCCTCCGTAGACTCAGAGCTGCTTTCTGTGGGCATGGCAGCCCAGTGGTCAGAGGCCCTCCTCCCCCTTAGACTACCCGAGGTTAGTTTTCCCTGGAGCACATGTGTCTATGGTGACATCATCTTAGAATATTTTACGTGGGTTTGGTTGGTGACCCTGGGTTGTCACCTGCACACCTGGAAGCAGTATCGACCTTGTATTTAACATGGTCTGTTGCACACAGGTAGACAGACCTGTCCAGGGGCTTTGGGCATTTTTGAGGAGGGAGTCCAACACCCAAAACCCTAAAGGCCACTGTATGGTAGTGCCCATATGTCATCACCTTCCCAGTAAGGCCTAGAGGAAGAGGGAGCAGTCCCCACCCCGTGAGCCACCCCACCAAGGGGAACGCGTGTTCCTCCTCAGGCCACACACCCAGCACCGGGTCTGCTCCCGTGCAGCTTCCATGCTGAAAAAAGGACTTAATTCATTTGTAGACTTTGTTTCCCTTGTTTCTGCTTTTCCATTTCTTGTATTTTTTCTTTTCCTCCCGTTGTTCCTTTCTCACTTTTTATGCTTTTTGTCCTTTGCTTGTTTTTTATTTCACCTTTGTTCTGGCCCTCTCCACTTCCAAACTCCCCCTCCTCCCCTCCTCCTCCTTTTTGTCTGTCTCCGTCTCCCCGTCCTCCTCCTCCTTGTTTGGTCCTTTTTGAAGTTGAGCCCAGTGGCGGGACTCCACGGCGTAGACCTCTCTCCTTCTGCCCTTGCTGTGTCCAGGAAGGTAACGTACCGCCCTCCTCCCCGCCTCTCCCGGTCGTAGCGCCGCCAGTCAGGCAGGGCCCAGACCCAGCGACGTCTCTGTCTTTCTCGGACACTTGATAGCCCTGTTACAAAACTCCATGAGTATGTGGCAGTTTCTTACAAGGTACAGTATCCCTTTGACGGTCTCAGGGGAGGACTGGGGTTCGGAGTGAAGCCAGAGAGCTTCCAGGCTGCAGCAGAGCGAGCATCCCACGATATCGTGCCACCGTTCGTGGTTGGGCCTTTCTGCCTCCCATCCAGCAGATAGAGGGGCAGGGACACAGGTGGGGCACCTCCCGCCTGTGTGGCAGCAATTTGTGTTGGCAGAGTCGAGGAATACTGTCCTTACAAAGACTGATCTACACAAATGCCCTGAGTCCTTTTCCAAAACAACCACTAAAAGCAAACTTCTCTGCCCTGTGTCTTGCCGAGTGTGTGGTTTTTTTAAGTTGGTCTGATTTGAAGTCTGTTGTGGTGATCAGAGTGTCGTTGAGAAGGCATGTGGGAGGGGAGGGGGAGTGTGGTCATGACTAACCCTTGCTAACCTCTTACTCTGCCTCTCCATGGTGCTCACATGTGACTGTCACACCCTACCATATACTTTGCTCATCGGCTGTGAGCAATCTCTCCCATAGCTCGTGAGCAGTATTTGGATGTCTCCCCGTGGGTTTTTTTGTTCTTGCACATGGGGAAGTGGGAAGGAGGGAGAGACTTCCAGTGCATTCACAGCTTGCTGCACTGGACGGCTTGCATGCCTCAGGGCTCCATCCTCCATGGCCATGTGGGCACACTGTGCAGAGATGCTCAGAGAGGAATGCATGGAACTGAGCTGCAGGCTGCTTTAAAAGCCAAAGAACCAAGTCTATCGGGTTGGGTGAGGAGAGCTTTGGTCCCCAGACACTCTGGCGTGCACTCCACAATAGCAGGCTCAAGCAGCCAGGAGGGAGCTTCCACCCTTCGGAGGAGGATTCAGGGATGGGAGCACAGCCCCGGGAGCACGGCTGCACGTGCACTGGGACACAGTGCACACACTAACCCCTGCTTGCGTGAACACGACTCATTTCTGCTTCTCCAGAGTGTGGCCCTGTTGAAAGACTAACCGGCTGGGGCCTCCTGTGTGTCATGCAAACAATGCAGAGAGAGTTGTCTGAACAAAGTGCAGGGAAGTCAGGTAGAAGGATGCAAGAGAGCAGTGAGTGAGAAGCTTGGTACATGAGGGTCGTCCCCCCGAGGGTGTTTCCATACATTCCTGGGTTTGGTCTTTACCGGGATGGTGCATCCAACCAAGTGACTCGTAAGAGGGAAGGCACTCTGAGAGATTGTGCAGTCAAGCGCCTCCTAACCTGGGGCCCAGGGACGGACTTCAGGAAGCTCTTGAGCAGCCTGGAGGTCTATCTGAAATTGTGGGATGTGTCCGTATGCGTTTTCTAGGAGAGTCTCTGGCTTTCCTGAGAGTCTCACAGTGGTTTGTAATCCAAAAATACTGAAGCACCACAGACAGAATCTGTTTCTGCCCTTAGGCAGGGCCACACCCTTGCTGTGAGCTTCTTTGTGCTCCAAGGAAAAGAAGTTTGTTCCCCCCTTGGGTGGTTCGATTCCTTGGAAAGTTCTTCATTCCGTCCTCCTGCAGTTAAGCCCAGTGGAGTCAGGTACCCCTGGGAAATTTAGATACCCGTCTCATGTTGGTGCAGGGCAGCCCGAGCTAGCAGGAGGCACCAGCCCCAGAAACTGCTGCTAGGATTGGATGAGAGCTGTGAGTGGAGCCTTCTTTAGTCTCTAGGGTCTGCTGGGCTTTCTTTGCCCTTAGTGAGAAACCTGGTACTCATCCTGGGATGTACTTTGTATACCATACAGGATTCGTTAGGAGAGTGTTTGTCAGAAAGCCTGATAGAGCACTGAGTTGAGAAAAGGTATCTTATCTCCCTGGTCCAGATAAAGAAGTGATGAGACATCAGTACCAGTGGCCCAGAGGGGGCCGTAGCCCAGGAAAGAGCTGGATTAACGAGTGTATCTTAAAAGGAGGGCAAAGCACTCAAAACATACCAAAAGAAAACCGTTGGGCAGGAGAGGTCCAAACAAGCTGCGACCAGGCTACTGAGAGGGTGAGGGCCAGGCCTGGTAAGATGAATGGGGAGCACAGAGTCGGCCAGGCCCCAGGGTAGTGTGGTACCCCTCCCCCCATGGCTGTAGGCAAACTTTGGACCTGGCTTGGGAGTGTTCCGGCAGCATCTTGCTCGGCTCTCTTTGCACATTTGCCCCAGTGTGATGATTCCTGCCGGCGGGGTAGACACAGACAGTCCCTACGCCTGACCCACCCTCTCTCTTGGCAGGAATGGGCAAGAAGGATGACCCCAAGCTGATGCAGGAGTGGTTCAAGCTGGTGCAAGAGAAGAATGCCATGGTGCGCTACGAGTCGGAGCTGATGATTTTGTGAGTGGCCTTAGGTTGGGGACTCAGCTAAGTGGGGACAGTGGCTCAGTGCCTGTCACAGCAGGAGCACAGCTCCTGCCTAATTTAGAAGATGAGAAGATGTGGTCCCCAAGTCACTGTCACTTGTCTTCCTCCCCTCCCTTGCAATCCCAGCGCCCGGGAGCTGGAACTGGAAGACCGGCAGAGCCGCCTGCAGCAGGAGCTCCGGGAGCGGATGGCAGTGGAAGGTGAGAGGGGAGCGGAGGTGAGGTGCATGCGGGGAGCTGGGGTGGGTCTGCTGCTCCTGGCCCCCTGGACCTAATGTCTTCGGGTACTGCCCAGATCACCTGAAGACTGAGGAGGAGTTGTCAGAGGAGAAGAAGATCCTGAATGAGATGCTGGACGTAGTGGAGCAGAGAGATGCCCTCGTGGCCCTGCTAGAGGAGCAGCGGCTCCGGGAAAAAGAGGAGGACAAGGACCTGGAGGCCGTCATGCTGTCAAAGGGCTTCAGCCTGAACTGGTCCTGAGCTCCTGCCGGTGCCCTGGCTGGCTGGTCTGCAGCATCTGCCCGACCTGGGCTGGGTTCTCCCAAACCGCCCAGATCCGAGATCTGAGAAGGCCTGGCACCTCCAGGAGTTTGCACTCAAATGTCCACACGCCTCTTGAAAGTGAGCCAAGTGTCTGTGCGGCTGGGAGCCCCAGGTGGAGATGATTACCTGAGATGGCTCAGCCTCCTCGGAAGAGGCCCACCCTGACTTCCCGCTCCAGGGAGAGAGCCTAGAGTGTTTGCCAGATGATGTGGGAAAAGGAGAATCTGCACGCTCCCTGAGGACGTGGTGGCTGGTGCCTTCTTGCACAGGCGCGTTTGGTGAGAGAAGGAAGCAGCCCCTCTCTGCCAGGCCCGCAGCCAAGAGCGCCCCTCGCTGGAGCGCAGGGGCCGCTGGCTTCTCATGCTCCCTGAAGACCACCAAAGAAACAGAGGCGGCTCTCCAGGAAAGCGAGATGTGAACCATGACCAGGAGGGGCAGGGCCAAGCCAGGGCGGCGCCCACCCCAGCATCACAGGGGAGCCAAGGGTGGGCTGGCTCCCAGATTCATTATGCAAGTAAGGAGGACCCTGGAGGGGTCTGCTCCCAGCCCCTGAACCACACACTGGACCCTACGTGGCCAAATGCCCAGGCCTCTCTGGCTGTGGCCTGAGGCCTGTGGATTGTTGCGTTTTGCTTTAATTCACAACTGTTTGACACTGGAAAATGCTGACTTCAGGGGACAGGGGTGAGGCCTGCCTTTCAAGCCCCCAGTTGACAGTGTTGTCACTGTTCCACACTTCTTGTCGGGCAGGAGACAATCTTGTCCTTGGCGTCTTTCCTGTGTTTGCACATTGAAACTCTCCACCACTTCAGACCCTTTTTGTCAGTTAACTTATTTTTTTAATACTTGAAAAGAAGCAACTTCATTTTTATATCTTTACTAGAGACACTGATCGCCCGGCAGCTGCTGCGGGAGTGACAAGGGTGTCCCGCTTGTGCTGCACAGTCTCACCACACGCCGACCACAGGCTCGCCGTGTTGCCTGTCCTGGGCCTCCTTCAGTGTCTCGGGTGGGCGGCCGGGGTGCCCTGCGGCCTTGTGCAGCCCTTGCCCACAGCCCTGTGTTTCCTCCTGCACTTGGTGTCTGGCCCTCTTCCTTCACCCGGCTCCCTGCGTGCGCTCTGGCGCCAGCCTTCATGTCTGCCCCAGCCGCTCATCAGGGATACATTTCAGCACTGCTTGCGGCCAAGCCAGAAGGCACAGATGCCGCTTGTCTCTCCCTGTTGGGACCTTGGCTCTGTAGAACCCATGTTTTTCTCAGTTTTGGTGCCAGAGTTTAACCTCCCACCACACATTTGCTAAAGAAAGTCTTTGGGTAAGCCTCTCCCAGGCTGGCTGAGACAGTATGATGGGACCTTGTAAACCATCCGGCTGGTGAGAGTTCCCTCAGCCCAGCCTCAGCTCCAACCAGAGAGAAATGCACTTGCTGCAGCACATATTGGATTTAGGTTGGTCTCACAGACAGGTAAAACTCCAGCCCAACCTCTCCTTTACCTGGATCTCAATGGGAAGCTGGGGGATGATGAGCACCAGGCAACTGGCTCCTTGAGCCAAACTCTGCTCGGTTCTCCTGGTTCAGCCAGGGACTGGCTGTGTACAGCTCGTAGAACGACTGTCTGAGAACATCAGGCCAGACCGTGCTTGTCCATCCACAGAATTAGCACACAACCCGGAAAGGATTGCCAACAGTGCCAGGCGAATCTGGAAGGATCATCCAGCCAACTGCTGGTGGAGAGGGGCCAGTGTAGAGAGAGCAGAGCCCTCGCAGCCCTGATCGGGCGTCCATGCTGACCGTGGAGCTTCTGTGGGAAACCAGACCGTGCCTCAACTTGCGCATCCATTCTCACCACAAAGGGGCAAAGAACCTGTCTTATTCCTCACTTTGTCCAAAAGCTGCCATCTCTCTCCTGTGGAAATCCAGGAGATGTGCTGCTAGCAACTGTCACAGCTCCAACATTCTTCACTTCATGTTTTCTGATGAGGCAGAGTCTCCATTTTTATTCTCTTTTCTTATGAAGGGGGAGAGGAAGGTGTTCTGGATTCTATCTTTAAACCCCAACATTCCAATAAAATTGGACTTGGGACAGGACCTTCCTCGCCCCTGTGGCCTTTTCCCTAAGCCTCTCCACCTCTCGCTGTGCCCAGAGCTGGCCCAGCCCCGGGAGAGTCCCTCACAGCCCCTGCTCCCCCCAGAGCAGGGGGCGGCACACGGTGGTGCTGCAGAGGGATACAGTGCGTGCCCCAAGCGGCCTGAGGGGGCAGGGGCAGCAGATGTTCCTGTCTGCCCCTGCTGCCTGCCACCAGCACTCGTCAGCCTCGCACGCCCCTGTGTCCTGCCGAAGCACGCGCTGCTGCTGCAGCTCCCAGACAGCTGAGAAGCTTGAAGTCCACCGCCCGCAAGTTCTCCCCAGCTCCCCGCTCCCAGCAGTGTTACGGCTTTGGGTTCTAGTAGAGCACTTTTTTTTAAAGCTCCCATTTTATAACCACTAGTTTGCATTTTATTTTAATACCCTGGTGACATGCTGCATGAAATGTTTTCCTGCTCTGGAAATGTATGCAGCTCCAGCCAGGTTTTCTTCCCAAGAGTGAAGCCCCCTTGAAGGCAGGGGAGCAGGAAACGTGCCTGTCTCTCAGAGTGCCAGAGTCTGAGTGAGCCAGACAGTGGGCCGCCAGGTTCAGTGTCACCAGAGGGATGCAGAGGCACCCCAGCCTGGGTTCGAGGGCCGCCGGCAGTTCCCTGTGGGTTCTGACCCTGCTCAGATGACGTCTTCAGTCCTCTGCCCCCTGGAGCCATCCTCCAGCTGCTTTCAATCCGCAATGATAGACTGTTATTTATCCTTTCAAAAAGAGAAGTTTTTCCATGGGGCAAGAAGTGAAGAGAGTTTAAAGAAAAAAATGTTGAAGGTGGTAACAACTGAGCTACAAAGGGAAACGGGCCATTTTATGCGCAATAAAAGTTTTTAAAAGAAATAGTGTATTTCTTAAGTCATTTTACTGGACGTGGCAGCGAGCCAGGCTGCATCTCCACGTTCCACTGCCCACCTCTTTCAGGTGGGGGGCGTCCACGCAGACCATTATGTATCTAGCGTATGTGTGGGTGAATACAAGGTTGTTTAAAGAACACAGCTTTGTTTAGGTTTGTGCTTCTTTAACTCATTCATATTATCCTGGCCCAGCCATCAGCTGCTGTCACTGGAGAAAATGTCTGGAGCAACCCATTGTGGTAAGAACCTGTTTGTCAAAACCGGGCCTCAGTACCGTCTTGAAGAGAAGCAGCGTATTCTTTGAAATATTCTCCAAGTCAGGGCCATCCTGTGGTCCTGGCACCCTTCCTCGCCTGGGCTGCTTCCAGGCCTGCCCAAGTCTGTCCTCCAACACAGGCGGCCTGGGAGTCTGCAGCCTCCAGGCCTAAATCGTTGAGATGTGTCAGGGTCCCTGAAGTCCATGCAATGCATAAGGTCTTGGAGAGAGCTGATGTCACCCTTCTTTAGACTGGAATCACGCCCAAGAGATTGGAAGGAATAATCCTGGGCAACTCTTCTCTCTGTGCTACAGGAAGCCTGTTGAGCTGCTTTTCCAAATGGAGGCATATTCCCGCTCTTTCACCTCCCTTGGTGTGTTGACCCATTAGGAGTATAGCCAACTTTGTCATCACCCACAGAGCTAATCCCTCATGCACAATGCTTCCCTCTGGAGCAGTGGAGCTGGCAGGGGGAGAGAAAGTGGCAATAAATGGGTGGAGGTGAGCCTTGCCCAGCCTGGAGGTCACTGCCATGGCAGCTGGCTCCCGGAGCCTTTCTGCCATATTGCCAGCTGTTCCAGAAGGAGGAAAGGGGGCTGAGTTGACACAAATGTGGACATCTCAGGTGGAAGAAATTGAACCAGCTCAAGTGAATATGCTGTGGCCCAGATTCCTAAAGGGCGGGGTGGATGGTGGCGTGCCTGTTGGGAAAGACGGAGTTTGGTGGTCACCTTACTGTTCCTCAAAGGGACTCACTTTGATTAGAGGATTTGGCTGCAGTTCACAGCAACCCCAGGTGGCAGGAATGATGATTGTTGTTTTAGGCAGGGCACCAGAAAGGAGGGCTGCCCCACCCCAAGTGAGCACCACCCCAGATTCATGGACCCCCTTTCCTTCCAAGAAGCCCCCGTGTCTGATGGCTCCAGAACTCCTCGTGAACCCTGAATCCTCATGGTCCCTTCTTAGGAGTCAGAGTGAAAAATGGTAAGGGAGAGAATGTGCCATTTTCTTTCACTTTATGAGCTGGCCACACTGGCCCACTTACGCGATGCTCTCCTCCTTCACGATATCTGCTTGGAGGATTCCGCCCCATTGGTGCTCAGGAGGACAAGAAACCACCCTCTTAGGTGGGTATGTCCCTCCGAACACCACCCCGGGAGCTAGGACGATGCCTCAGCACGCTCGACCAGGTAGCCTGTTAGACCAGGGGCCCAGGGCCACACAGGCCCTCCACTGACACTCCCAGACAGCTGTTGCTGCTGAACTTTACTAGGTAGGGGTTTGTGACAGCCCCACTCCTTGTGTCCCCTGCCCTGAGCTCTTCTTGCAGCTGGGCCTTAAACGGGGAAGGTGGAGTCTGGCTTCTGGAGGTCGGTCACATGTGCCAGCCACGTCTGCCTGAGAAGCCACCTGTTACAAGACAGATGTGGAGGGAGAGACAGTGTCCCGTGATGCATGCATGCACGCACGCACACGCATACCCACTCCTTCCTTTTCATACCCAGCATGACCGTTCTGAACCAGAGTGGACATCTAGTTCTAAAGTACGCTGGATTTCGGCCTTTGAATCCCGGGTGGGACCAGCTGTGGTGGTGGCCTGGGCCACAGGGCTGGGCAGGATCCAAGTTGAGAGTCTTTCTGCAGTGGCCTGGAGCCTGGAAGACTACGTTTGTATTGAACGGTCTCTGAAGTCGGCAGATGGAGCGTCCTCCAGACCCAGGGGAAGGCCCTTTGGAGTGCCAAGTGTGGCGTGGTGCTGAGGGGCTGGCGTCTGAGCCCACAAGTGAGAGAGGGGTGGGACATGCAGTTTGGGCCGCAGCAGGGTCAGTGTTCAGACGTGAACCGTCCCTGCCTCTTCCCTGCCTTCAGGGGTAGCCTTAGGCGCATCACTCGACTGGTCAGGTCCTCCCTCCCTCGGTCTAACCTGGGGCTGGTAAGCAACCTACGGGAGCCGGAGGAGGGCGGTGAACGAGGGCCTGTGTAGGTGCACAGACAGTGCTCGTGACAGTAACAGGTTTGCCTTGAAGAAGGGGTGAGAAACCGAGGAAGACTGAGGGCAAAGTGCTCCCAGCTCCTCTAGGCGCTGGCACCCTGTGCCCAAGGTCATGTCAGGTCTATCTGGTGAGCCCACAGAGCTGTGCGTGTATTTTTAATTATTTTAAATGCTGGGCTGAATCCTCTTGCCTCTCAGGAACTTACTAGACACAGGTGGTTATAGATAAGCAGTGTTCCCAGAACATTCAGAGGAGCCACTGCCAGGTGTGTGCCCGAGGCTGGACAGTGCTGGGCCCGAGGCAGCACGTGGGGCCTTTCTGGGAACACTGCTGACACTCTCAGATCAAGGGGACACCCCAGTCTTTTTCCTCCTGCCTCATTTCTGCAGCCCAGAGCCGCCAGCCTCCTCCACCTCAAGGCAGCTCCACCAGATCCCTCTCCCAGCAGTGGCTCTGGGGTTACACCATGGGTCCCCAGCCCTCCAGAGGTGTGTCGAGGATAAGGGGTGCGCCAGTGAGTGTTAGGGTGTGTCCATGTGAGGGCACCGAGCAACAGGCAGAAGAACAAGGGTCACCTGGACACACCATCGGCAGCTGGCACAGCAAGTAATGAGGAAAACGAGTGTTTGTTGGTACAGTAACCCTCTCAATACCCCAGGTTTGGCACTCCGGCCTTCAGGTTGTCTCCCCAAGAGTTCGAATGCCTGGTATTTTCTGTGAGGGAAAAGGAAAAACAAGAAGCATCTGACAGCCAACAGCCTGCTTTCCCCAGTTTCACTTTATGTAATGTTTTAATGTTTTTAAAGAATTGAATACCATTTAAAAAATGTAACTGGTTGGGGCCGGCCCAGTGGCGCAGCGGTTAAGTTCACACATTCTGCTTCGGCGGCCCGGGGTTCACCAGTTTGGGTCCCAGGAGCGGACCTACGCACCACTTGTCAAGCCATGCTGTGATAGGCGTACCACATATAAAGTAGAGGAAGAAGGGCCAGTCTTCCTCAGCAAAAATGAGGAGGATTGGCGGCAGATGTTAACTCAGGGCTAATCTTCCTCAAAAAAAAAAAAGTAGCTGGGGCCAGACTCTCACTTGATACCAGCGTCATATTGGGACACAGTAACATTCTGGCCCAGTAATTGTTTTAAGTTGTCATCAAATTGTTCTTAGTGTCACCTGTAAACCTGGGTGGGGAGGCAGGAGGGGTGGGTGTGGAGGGCTGTGTGTCTGAGGCTGGACAGTGCTGGCCTGCATCAGCACCATTTGGGAACACACCAGTTCTCTCAGCTCAAGGGGACACCCAGGCCTTTCCACGCGGCCTCATCTGTAGCCCAGAGAAGGAGCCAGACTCAGCAAAGCCTTAACCCCTGGAGGACGGAGGCCCTGCCAAGTTCTCCTGTGGGGAGATGTTTGGAAGAAGCATCCAGAACAGACAAGTTTCCTGAAACCCTGTGCCTGGGAGAGCAGGGAGAGCGGAAGTACCCCGTTGTGCTGACTTTGCAGTCGTTACATGTAAACGTAAGGTAAAATCGTGCCCTGCGGGCCCGTGCTCAGGACTCCAGCTGTGTGCACTCCTCACAGGGCAACAACCCAGATAAAGTCTGCATATTTTCTTCTTCTGTGTGGAAGAAGATTGTTTTTCCTCACTCTCGCAGGGGGCTGGGATATGCCCATAAAACCGTGGGCTCCAGGGACGCCTTCCCCCCGTGAGGCCCCCGCACCAGGACCAGCTGCCCACCAGTGCCTGGGCCCCCAGGTTGGCCTCCAGCAGGGAGTCCCTGTGGGGTGGGAGGGCTGTGTCGCTGCTCCTGAGTCATGGGGCCCTCTACTCCCCAGCATTTCTGCCCCTCCCACCACCCTGCTTGTTTGTTTGTTTTGGTGGGGGGAGCGCACTGCTGCTGGTAAGAATTCTGCCTCTCCTTCCCTTGACAGGACCAGACCTCTTGAAGGAGCAGGGCAGGCAGGAAAATTGTCTTTCCCAGGCTGCGGACAGTCCTCTCCACAGCGTCTCCCCATGCTTTTCCCCTCAGGGTGGCCGTGTGACATTTTCATGCAGCACGGAGATGGGTGGCAAGTGGCTGTGCTGTAGGGAGGGCCCCTCCACTGTTGGAGCGGTGGGAGGGGAGGGGTGTTAAGGGCAATAAAAAGACTCCTGGACTCAGAAACTCGCTACATGATCAGGGATGAAAAATTAGGAAACTGACAGTTTCAAGCTGGGATTGTGATAAGAAGGACGTGGACGGGTGGACCTGGGACGAGGCCTCCGCAGGCAGAAGCGATCAGTTGGCACTGAATAGAGAGCAGCCCACCAGAGCCCTGAGTGCCCGTGAGAAGGCCTGTCCGCCTCTAGAGTGGGGGTGCCCTGGCAGCTGGGCCCCCTTGCCCACCAGCCAGGAGCTCCCACCAGGTCAAGAGGTGGAGGCGGGTGAAGAATTCAGTGTTTAAAGCAAGTGGAAGCAACAGAATAATATCCACCCTGCAGGCCTCCTCACCCCGAACCCAAGACTTTCCTCCTACCTGGAGAGGAATTCTCCAAGGACCCTGGGAGAGCTGAGGACACACCACTCTGTGGCCTGGGCCATGCCAGCAGCAGGTGGGAAAAGCTGCCATCCTGCCCAGTGGTCTGGGGCCAAGAAGGACGCTGACCAGCCACCTCCAGCTGAGGTGGGGACTGCGTCCGGGACCTGGCAACTGAGGAGCACTTAGGCATAAGCCAAAAGCTGCCCCAGAACTGACCTTG